ATATATATACATATATGTGTGTATAAGTTTTTTATTTATTAAAAATTTCTTTTAAAAAACTATTAAATTTAAATTTAGTTATGAAGATAAAAGAAAGTAACTAAAAGAGATGTGGGCGTATGGTCGTCTACTAATTAAGTCACCAATTATTATTCGTAACACTCTCCCTTGAATGTCTATTATTTTAAAATATGTCTCGTTAAAATCTTACTAGACAAAATCTTGTGGGATAAAAACCTAGTGAAGAAAAATAGTACATTATTCTTTAATATTTATTTCTCCCCCTCATGCATACAATTATCTTTAAGATGCTGAAGTCTAATCTTGTGTATTAATTGATCAAAACTTTTCCTAATAGTCACTTTGTAAAAAGATATTATCAATGTTACTTCAATGATGAAGGAGATGAACAAAGAACCAAAAGAAAGAAAAGGTGATCCAAGAAGAAAAAGAAAAAGATATTGAATGAAATATACTTCTTATTAATTACAAAGTAAGAATTACAAAGCTATATATATATATATACTTCAAGAAAAGGCAAAACAAAAAAACTAACCTACACGAGGTAAACTAGACTAAACTAACAACTATAAAAAAATAATAATAAAAAAAAGATTAAAAAAAACTAATGAACAGCTTAATTAAAATAACAACTAATAAATGGACAATTGTATGTTGTAATAGCCCTCCTCAAGTTGGACGAAAAATGTTTTTGAGAGATCCAACTTGCTTGTTAGATCTTCAAACTTATGTCTTGGAAGAGCTTTTGCAAATATATATGTTATTGGTTAATGTGTCTTCACATGGATGAGCCTTATGAAACCTAATTCAACATGTTCTCTAACAAATGTCTATGTGTTTTGATCTCTGATGAGAGATAGGGTTAGTTGACAGATATATTGTTGAAATATTATCACACAACACCATTACCATTTGAGGTTCATTTTAGAAGAATCTGAAGAGCTATTTAAGTCATAATAATTCTGAAGTTATAGAAGCAATTGCCCTATACTCAGCTTCTGCTAAAGATCTAGATACAATAGCTTGCCTTTTTTATTTCCATGTCAAAAGTTAATCTCCCATGAAGATGCAAAAGCCTGTGGTGGACCTTCTGCTTTCAATACAATTTCCCTAGTCTGCATCTACATATGCACTCAGATTTAACTTGGATTTCGAAGAGAAAAGGATGCCTTGCTTGAGAGTTGTCTTTAGGTATCTTATAACCTAATGAACAGCTTGAAGGTATGGTGTCTTGGGTTTGCTCATGAATTGGCTCGACTTATTTACTATAAAAACAAACATCAGGTCTAGATATGCTTATGTACCCTAGCAGCCTTCTATAAGTAGAAGGGTCTTGAAGTGGTTCTCCATTAGTTAAGCTGAAATGTTGATTTGGGTCCATTAGAATAATAGTTGGTTTTGCATTGCTGAAACCTATGTCTTCTAAGAGTTAAGTAGTATACTTCCTCTAGCATAAGTGAATGCCTTGATTGGACTTAACAATTTCCAATCCAAGGAAGAACTTGAGATCTCCCACAATGTTGAGTTTGAACAAATTTGGAAGTAGGTTTTGGCATTTGTGTAAAGAATTTGTATTTGGCCCTACTAGTATTATGTCATCCACATATACTAGTAGGTAAAATATGTTGTTTCCACTACCAAATAAAGCCATGAGATTTCGAGGTGTCTTGAGGCTTGTTTTAGACCATATAGGGACCTATTTAGCTTGCACACAAGATTACCTTGATCTTGTTGATTTATTTTGTAACCCTGTGGTATCTTCATATAAACTTCTTCACTCAGATATCCATTCAAGAAAGCCTTTTGGACATCCAGCTGAATGAAAGACTATTTCTTAATGGCTACTAGGGATAAAATGACTCTTAACAGTAGTTATAGTGGCCACTGGTGAGAAAGTGTCAAGGAAGTCTATGCCAACTTCTTGTATAAAGCCTCTTGCAACAAGTCTGGCTTTTCCTTTGGCTAGAGTGCCATCAACATTGTATTTTGCCTTATAGATCCATTTACAACTTATAGCCCTTTTTTTTCTTTTGGTAATGGTACTATATCCCAGGTGTTGTTGAAATCCATAGCCTCCAATTCCGTTGCCATTGCTTCTCTCCATTCAGGGAATCTAACAACTTTATGGTAATAGGTTGGCTCATAGACATTGCTTATTTGCATAGTAAAATCTTTATGTTGAGTTGACAATCTCTCATAGGAAATGAAGTTTTTTATGGAGTGCAAGGACTTTAGGTTGGGAATTGAGACTTGGTAATGGTGTAGATATGATAGAAGGTTGGTTTGTCTTGATGATCTTCTTGTAGTATCATGTGTTTGTGAAGTTGGATTCTGAGTGTTGACATTTTGCTCAATTCCATCGATAGGTTGTGTAGAAGCATCTTGATTTGCATTTAAGTTTTGCTCATAAAATCCCTTCTCAATAAGTTGATCTGTTGCGACTTAGGAATGGCAGTGTGGCTAAAAGGATCTTGATTTATGATTGAGGTTTGGTTGAGATGTGATCTACTTAAGGCCAAAAGGCATGGTTTCTTTATGGAAGAGAACATTCCTAGAGACCATAATCTTCCCAATTTCAAGGCTATACAATTTATATCCTTTTATACGTCGAGGATAACCAATACAACTACCAATCAATTAATTATTTTATTTCTTGAATTATGATTCTTTACTGAAGACGAATACTACGTGGAAAAGAAAATAATTTGATTCTTGACTTTTGCAACCATCAATTAATTTAAATCCTCACTTCCATGTATATAGTTTAGTCTTTATCTCAAAATTAGATTTTTTTTTAAGAATCTCAAAATTATATTGAATTAGTCACTTTTATGCATATAATTAATTTTGTCTTCATGCGAAAATTAGATAAAAATGTTAAGGACCAAATTAGTTAATAGCCTGAATTTCAAGTACCAATATCGAATATGATTATCAGATTGGAGATGAAAAGGTTTTACTAGTTTCTTATTCTGTATGGGTTTTTCTTCTCCCCTTATCTATTATTAATTATTCTAGGCATTGTTTACCCAAAATCAAGAATAAGTTGTAAAAAAATGTATACATCATTTTAGTTCAAATAATAATATAATAGTTTAAAAGAAAGTGTGTGAATAACACTGCTAATTAATACCTGAAACATCAGTGATGCACTATCTTGGTGTGCAAAATTTATTTTCATCTCAATCAATAAGCAATGTTCAACAGGCGATGTGGGACCCATAGTCTTAAATGTCTAACGTTTAAGGAAGGATACTATTACACTAGTTAGGAGAGACGTAAATTGTCTTTTGGTTTCTCTCCAATACAAAATTTCAGTTTTTTCTCCGTGATCATCATTTTCGCATCAACTTCTCGGTAAAGGCCACACACCATGGTTTCAGAGGTAACAATAAAATTCAGTGCTCTTTTGTCATTCTTCTGCACAAATAGAACTATGACATTCAGAACATGTCTTCTCTCTTCATTTTCTTCTACCATTCAGCATCCCTCTTCCCCTTCCCACTCTTTTTTCAGTTGGTTTTTCATTCAAAAGAACAAAAAAAAAATTCTGGGGTGTGTTATTGTTATTTATGAATATATGTTTGTATGTTTTGATACTTGACTCTGAAGTGTTTAAACAGGAATTAATGCTTGATCTCTATGTATCTGGTCTTTCTTCATGTGGTTGGTTATATTCTGAGTTGTATGCAGTCTGAATTAGATTTGATGAAATTTATGCTTGTGAGACTCAGATTTTATGTGGTTTTTCTTTTATGCTTATAGTTAATCTTGCAAGTAGTATTTGATGGAACTGGGAAGGGAACTGAATTTCCTCTCTCATGTGAGTTTTTTGTTATTTTGCTGAAATTTAATTGGCCGAAAGAAACCTCCACCATTATGCAGTTATGTGTGTAAGTAAAATTTTCCTTTTTCAGATGGGCTGGCATAACACAATGAAAAGAAAACAATGTCTATGATCAATGTGTGCACTGTAAAATTGTACTTTCCAGATGGACTGACATGAAGAAAAGACCCCATTAGTGCCTCTAGTTAGGACCATATAATGTTAGTAGTTGTGAAAATTGGTGGCCATACGAATCAACATTTCATCAAAAACCATCAATGTTTGTTGTCCGAACTTAATTGTAAGAATGTGATTTGAACCGAATGTCATATACTAGTAAAAAATGGGGTAACAAGTGCTGATACCCTGTCCGGGAGATTACTGTTACATAATTTTGGCAACTTAAAGAGTTAAAGCAAGGAAAACGGTAGGTCCAATTTTAAATTTATAGCATTGAATGTTAAATTAGATGGTGTATGAACAGGGTTTATCTTAAATAAATCTCGCTGGGAAAAATTATCTGTAAAACCATCCATGTATCATTTTGACTTACTATTCTTTTCATATGATATAAATATGTAACTAGATATGGAAATCTAGCAGAAGCACATGATGTGGGCCAAATCCAAAATCGAATGGAGCAAACTATTTTTAAAAATGTGTACGGTAAGGGTGACAAATAGATCTAGGAAATTTCTGGAGAAATGAGCCCATACAAACCACACTGAATCATGAGTATGATTTTTAATGCTCTAGTGGAAACCAGTTAAATGCGAATTATGCAGAAAGTTTAATCACCATTGGTTTATCTCAGTTCTATTTACCTTTATAATTCAAGTTATTTTGCTTTAGTCATTAGCCATAATGCTGGTAGAAGAGTTTGTACAATTAACAAAAAGAAAATAGTACCAAGTTGCATTAATAAATAGTTCTGTAAATAGAGAAATTATTACATGGTACCATTGTCACGGTCAATCTCCACTTGACACATAATTGAATCCTATTAGCTCTTTCTCGTAAACTGAAAAAGTCGGTTGTGTATACCATGTAACAATTTCTCCTGAAAATATGACTTGAAGATTCATAAGATGATGGGTGACAGAGTTTAGTGTCTGAAATAGAGACCAAAAGGTGGTCAGTACTCAGTACTGACACAATATCTTATCAACCTAACCTATGTAGATGATTCTTCTGACAGATATGCATGCTTCTTGGTTATTTGAAAATATACTTTATGTTCCTCCCTTCTACCAGTTACGTGGATCATATTTCTTTCTTTCTTTACATTTATGAAAGGGAAGAGTTGCATTATCATGTCGGCAAGATTGGACCACTAGGAGGACAGTATAGAACAATAATTTAATGTTAGAATTTGTGAAAGATTTTCATGATGCTTACACCTGCTGA